TTACATGAGCAGAATGTGTCCTTTTATTTAAAATACATCTCTGGGGTTATTAAGAATCTGCGAAAAATGAAAGATTAATATGAAAGCCTGTTGAAGGGAGGGAGGGGAGTCTGTGCTCGTTAGAGCGTTGAGAAAATAAGTGGACGTACGACTGTGGAATTTTACTGTATTTATTTTGTTTTGTTTATGTTAAAGAAAATTGAATAAAAAGCATTTTTAAAAATTAAATGCATCTCTGGGTTATTTGTGGGGCCTGCCTGGTGTTTTTGCATGAGTAGAATGTGTGCTTTTATTTAAAATGCATCTCTGGGTTATTTGTCGGGCATAGGAATTTGTTCATTTCCCCCCCAAAAAATATAGTCTGGCCTACCACATGGTCTGAGGGACAGTGGACCGGCCCACAGCTGAAAAAGGTTCCTGACCCCTGGGCTAGAGTGCTCTTGGGGCAGTGTGATTACCTGGCATTCTGGCCCCAGACTGGCGGGGATGCCAGATTGCAAAATGCAAAAGCAGCAAAACAGGGCTGGAACGAAAACATATCCATGTACCGTATTTTTCGCTCTATAGGACGCACTTTTTCCCCTCCAAAATTTAAGGGGAAATGTTTGTGCGTCCTATGGAGCGAATGCAGGCTCCTTGGCTTCAGCAATAGCAACGCGAAACCTCTGATGTGCAGAGGGAGCGCACCCACTGCGCTCCGGAGGCTACGCGTTGCTTTCGCTGAAGCCTGGAGAGCGAGAGGGGTCGGTGCGCACCAACCCCTCTTGCTCCCCAGGCTTCAGGGACAGCCGCCTGAAGCCTTTGGAGCGCAGCGGGAACTCACACTGCACTCCGCAGGCTTCGGGTTCCTTTTGCTGAAGCCGGGAGAGCAAGACTCTCCCAGTTCTGGGCACCACAGTTCAAGAAGGACAATGACAAACTGGAACATGTCCAGAGGAGGGCGACCAAAATGGTCAAAGGCCTGGAAACGATGCCTTATGAGGAACGGCTAAGGGAGCTGGGCATGTTTAGCCTGGAGAAGAGGAGGTTAAGGGGTGATATGATAGCCATGTTCAAATATATCAAAGGATGTCACATAGAGGAGGGAGAAAGGTTGTTTTCTGCTGCTCCAGAGTAGCGGACACGGAGCAATGGATCCAAACTACAAGAAAGAAGATTCCACCTAAACATTAGAAAGAACTTCCTGACAGTAAGAGCTGTTCGACAGTGGAATTTGCTGCCAAGGAGTGTGGTGGAGTCTCCTTCTTTGGAGGTCTTTAAGCAGAGGCTTGACAACCATATGTCAGGAGTGCTCTGATGGTGTTTCCTGCTTGGCAGGGGGTTGGACTCGATGGCCCTTGTGGTCTCTTCCAACTCTATGATTCTATGATTCTATGAGAGGGAGAGCTGTGCACCGCTCCTTCAGCCAAGCGGGAGGAGAAATGGAAGGGGCTCCGTTTCTCCTGCTGCTTCGCTGAAGGGGCGCTGAGCAGAGAGGGGATTTTTTTTTCTTGTTCTCCCCCTCTAAAACAAGGTGCGTCCTATGGTTGGGTGTGTCCTATAGAGCGAAAAATACGGTATTTGTCAGGTCCGAAGGCTGCGTTTCCTCTTGCACCGTTGCGTAACTCCAGTTGGATGGACTCTGAAGTGCAGCCCCGGCAGGAGCCTGCGGTGGGGGGAGCAGGGGGGGCGGACAGTGCTGGCAAAGGGAGGGCGAGGATTCTGCAGTGTGTGGAAAGAGGAGATAAGCACCCCCTTCTCCTCCCCCTCCATATAGGGCAGCAGTGCAGAGAAAACTTTCTCTGCACTTTCCCCCCGGACACCCTTCTTTGGGGCAAACTGGCCAGGTCCCTAAGCTCAAGTTTCCAAAAAGCGCCTAAACTGGCCACGCCCCATTCTTAGTGATGAGCAGCTCCGGGGAGTCCCCAGCTCTGGCTGGGGGCGGGGTATTGATTTAATCCTGTCCCCTCCTAAGCCCATTTTCGGTCTCTAAACTGTCCCTTGATGCTGCTAGCTTGCTGCAACGATAAAGAATTGTCATAGGAATTCAAATGAATATTTTAAAATGAGGTACAGTGGTACCTCGGGTTACATACGCTTCAAGTTACATATGCTTCAGGTTACAGACTCCGCTAACCCAGAAATAGTGTTTCAGGTTAAGAACTTTGCTTCAGGATGAGAACAGAAATCGTGCTCCGGCGGCGCAGCGGCAGCGAGAGGCCCCATTAGCTGAAATGGTGCTTCAGGTTAAGAACAGTTTCAGGTTAAGTACGGACCTCCGGAACAAATTAAGTACTTAACCCGAGGTACCACTGTATAATTTTGAAATAAAAATGGGTTTTAATCTGTTTCAACTTTTTAAATGTCTTCCAAGTATGGTTTTAATTTTTTCTCGGTTTTCCTGTATTATCTTTTTGTAAACCGCTTTGAGGCATAACATTCTGTGCGTAAGTCCTGAAGAGAGAAAGAGGGAGAGAGAGAGAGACAGAGTAGTACCAACAAGCAGCACGTTTTTAAGGAAGCGCATTAGCAGATCCATGAATGAAACGGAAGTGGGTGGGACCTTTTCTTGGCAATGGAAAATGCAGACACGGGCATTTTCTATATGATTGGGGGCAAATGGCTAAAATCCCCTAACCATGATGCTAGGGTTCCAATCCAGATTTTGCTGGGTGGCAAGGCATACTGGATACATTCAAGCAAACCATGTTTAGCTTGGAAAAGAGGAGACTGAGAGGAGATACGACAGCCATCTTCAAATATCTTAAGTGCTGTCCATGGAAGATGGAGAAAGCTTGTTTTCTCCTGCTCCGGTGAGTAGGGTGGAATCTACAAACATATTAAAAAACGCTGTGAAAATGCTTTTTTTAAAAAAGTTTTGAAAAATACATTGAATTTTGCATAGCTCCCTCTCGCCATCTAGTGTCAAATTTGTATACTGCACTTTACAACACATTTAAAACGTTTTATTTGTAGCTGCACAGCTGAGTCCTAAGACCAGAACCAACGCTTCTAATTACAAGAAAGGAGATTCCACTTAAGCATCAGGAAGAACTTTTTTACAGTAAGGGCTTTTTGGCAGTGGAATGGATTTCCTCAGGAGGTGGTGGACTCTCCTTCCTTGGAGGTTTTCCAGCAGAGGTTGGATGGCCATCTGTCTTGGGTGATTTAGCTGAGCTTCCTGCATTGCAGGGGGTTGGACTAGATGACCCTCAAGGTCCCTTCCAGCTCTACAATTCTATGATTCTATGAAACCTTGCAGCACTTAAGGGTGGAGTCTTAAGTTGCACATGTCACTTCACATGTGAACAGAGCAAATCTATACAGACCTGGATGTGCTGCCCTCATGCGTAACTTCAGGCTTGTTTTCTGCTTATGCGGGTTTTGTTCCAGGCATTTCATGTTTCATGAGAAACCAAGTGATGTTTCAGTTCCTCGCATCCTCTTTGCGTATACTTCTGAGAGGTCTTCAAGAACAAGAAGTGAAAATGGTACTCCCAGCTCTCCAGCAGGGAAACATGCCTGCACCTTTCTTTTTAAAAATAAAAGTAGATGGCTGGTTCCTCTCCCACCCTCCCAGCCTGACTTGTCAGATGATTTTTAGAAATTATTTGAATTGCCTATATTTAGTGCATTTTTGTGTAAAAATAAAAAAACTGAGAAGTGCATTGTCTGCTGTTTGAAACAGTTAAAACGAAAATCGACTGAGGGGGTGGTTGGAAAGCAGAACACTCACTGGTAGGTTGGTGGGTGGGGTGTAGAGTAAGACACAAACGTGATTCAGGTACTGTGGTGTTTGCCTCCTAGGATGGGTCATAAGGAAAGGGTTAAAATGGGTGTGATGTGGTATGCAACAGCAGCAGCAAGGATACTTATCGCAAAGTATTGGAAGACACAAGACTTACCCACTCTGGAAGAATGGCAGATGAAGGTAATTGATTATATGGAATTGGCGGAAATGACTGGCAGAATCCGTGACCAGGGAGAAGAGTCGGTGGAAGAAGATTGGAAGAAATTTAAAGACTATTTACAGAAATACTATAAAATTAATGAATGTTAAATTGAGGTCTGATTGAAAATAACTGGTATTGGCAAAAGCCTTGCGTTTAAGAGCATGGAATATTTGATTGATAAGGTTGTAAAAATATCTATTTATAAATAGATTAAGTTTTTGAGTTAAGATAAAGGAAGGAGGGTAAGGATTTGCTGAAAGGAGTTTTTAAATGGAAATACAAGTGGGGAGGTGCGGGGAAGTCAAAGAACTAAGGAAAGATAAGAAGGTTAAATGAAAGTATAAATTTTTAAATTTTTCTGTTTTTTCTTTTTTATGGTTATTGTTATCTTTTGTTTTCTTTTTGTCATTGTTATTGTTGTTTTTTGTCTTTGGAATTTTTGTATTTTTGTATGTTTTGGAATTTTTGTATTTTTTTTTTTTTGTAAAACCAATAAATATTATATTAAAAAAAAAATAAAAAAAATAAAAAGAAAATAAATAAATAAAATGGGTGTGATGTGATTGGCCAGTGAGAATGCAAGGGGGGAATAAAAGTTAGAGTGGGAGGTTTTGAAAGTCAGTTGAGAGATGAGTTGAGTGCAGTTGAGTTGAGAGTGGAGGTTTGGGAGTCGAAGAAGGAAGAGGGAGGTTTAGGTCTGGGTTGGTAGAATTGTATTGTGAGTGAGTGAGAGGAATTGTTAGGTGGAGTCAGATAGATAGTTGGGAATAATCAGTTTGAAGTTGTTAGGAACTAAGATTAAGAAACTGTCAAGAAAAACTAACTGAAACCATAAGCTTGTTCCTGCATTTAAAAATAAACTTGATTATTTGTTTATGTTAACAACTGACTGGACTCCGTGTGTCCCCATGTGATACGGGGTGGTGGCAGCGGAAAAAGCAATCGCAGTGGCGGCACAGGGTCAATAGACCGTCAAATGTCCGGTGGCCCTGTGTGTGATCGCCACAGGTAGGTAGCCGTGTTGGTCTGACACAGTCGAAATAAATAAAATAATTAAAAATTGCCACTAGCACCTTAGAGACCAACTAAGTTTCTTCTGGGTATAAGCTTTTGTGTGCATTCACATTTCTTCAGATACACGAAAGCTTATACCCAGGAGAAACTTAGTTGGCCTCTAAGGGGCTACTGGACAATTTTTATTTTTTTTTATTTACACAAACTTGAGTGTCAGGTAAGGTTACCAGTCTGGACTCCTCACTCTTCTGCCTTTAACAGCAGTGTGACCTGCAGGACCTACCAGGCAATAACATGCTCATCTGTGCCTGTTGTTAAAAGAACATAGGCTGGCCACTTTTCCCAGTCAATTGGCAACCCCTGGCCTCTCAAGACCAGCCAAGAATGTGGGTGCTGCCAGTGGGGAGCCAATGGGGCAGAGTTGGGCCTAAAGTTGGAGTGTCAGATGGCATCAAGGCAAGCAATAGTCAATGTCAGAGCTGCAAGATTTGGTCCAAGGCTGAAGAGGAACAGAGCATCTCAGTTTGTTTGATGGGTAAGGTTAAGGTAAAGGGACCCCTGACCATTAGGTCCAGTTGCAGATGACTCTGGGGTTTTGGTGCTCATCTCGCTTTACTGGCCGAGGGAGCCGGCGTACAGCTTCCGGGTCGTGGCCAGCATGACTAAACCACTTCTGGCGAACCAGAGCAGCGCAAGGAAACGCCGTTTACCTTCCTGCTGGAGCAGTACCTATTTATCTACTTGCACTTCGACATGCTTTCGAACTGCTAGGTTGGCAGGATCAGGGAACGAGCAATGGGAGCTCACTCCGTCGCGGGGATTCGAACTGCCGACCTTCTGATCGGCAAGTCCTAGGCTCTGTGGTTTAACCCACAGCGCCACCCGCGTCCCGTTTGATGGGTACCGTCAAATAAATATATGCCTTACAATTGGCCAGCCAGGATTCATCTTGTGGAAGGCCTGTTGGGTTGCTCTGAATTATAGCAGCTCTCCTGACTCTGTAACATTGCTCCTTTGCTACTGCAGCCAAAAGTAGAACGTCCATGTTTAGGGGCATTACGTCTCTAGTTGCTGGAGACAACAAGGTTCTGGGTTAAGATGGACCCTCCACCAGAGCAATTGCTGTGTTCTTTGGACCAGCTCTCCATGATCCTTGGTGGCAGAGAGACTTGTGGCTCTGAGCTGCTAGTGGAGGAACATGGGAGATGTTTGGCAGGATCCAAGCACTGCGCACAAGCCTGCCAACAGCCTACAAATTTGAGCTGCAATATGGATAAGCCCAAAGCAAAGGTGCCTTGAACAGGGCAGGATTTGGGCCGCATGGTCAGTTATCACTAGAGGAGCAGATCTCCCAGGATGGAAGGAGGGACTTATCTGCGATGCTGCCAGGGGCTTAATTCCTGGAGGTAGAAAGAGGGTGGGATTTGGGTGCTTCTGTGTGGCAAGATAAGGGGCATGTGTAACACAGCTGCTGCCGCCCCCCTTCACCCTGCCCCCCCCATGCTTTCTCTGCCTTTCTGCACTAATCCCAGTATAATTAAAACAAATAAACTCTGGATGTTGCGTTAAAAATAAAACTTGGATCAGGAATAAAAGAGGCTAATCCTTTTTCAAAGAAGATACTTATAGTAAAAGGAATAAAGCCCTGTAGCTCAAGACTTGGAAGGTTCCCCCCACCCCAGCTTCAATGTGGGGAAGTGCAAGAGTAGCAGTTCTGACATGAGGGGGGATTCTCAGGGCTTGAACAAATAGACACCTCCCAGGTAGAGCAACTGCAGCCTGAATGTGGACACGGGCACGATCAGACCACACGCAAGGCTCGCTGTTTTTGGCTCGTGTGAGAGGCAGAGAAGACCATGTGCCCAGGTAGAAAGGGAGCAGTGCACTTTTAGCATCTGCTGTGCTCCTGTCTCCACCTGTGGGGCTCTTGCAGAGCTGTTGGGCTCTGCGAGAGAGTTTGGCTTCCCGGACTTGGCTCAGCAGTTTCTGATAGCTGGCACCAGTGTTTGCCTTTGCCCTCAGTCCCACAGCCCTCACGAATGCTGCTGCCTTGGCTGCAAGGAACCAACGGTGCCAAGGTGTTTACCCCTTAGTAAATTTGTTTGGCTTGTCAGTTGTGTTGGCTTCTGTGTGAGAGTCGAGAACAATCTGGAGGGCATGCATGCATGCGCCTAACCCAAGCACTTGGTGAGAGGTCAAGCGCTGGGGAATGGTGACCTGGTGAGAGCATGGAAGCCATTCATGGGCACATATGCATGCTGGATGATACTGCTGTCTGTGTGTTATTTCGGGAGCTTTTTTTATTCAGGGTCCTGGATTATTTTAACTCGCTCTACGTGGGGCTGCCCTTGAGACTGACCCAGAAACTCCAGCGGGTGCAGAATGCCGTGGCGAGACTCCTTACGAGGTTTGCTGCAAGATCACATTCACCCGGTGCTATACCAGCTGCACTGGCTCCCGGTGGAGTACAGGATCAGGTTTAAGGTGCTGGTTTTGACCTTTAAAGCCCTATACGGCCTAGGACCCTCGTACCTACGGGACCGCCTCTCCTGGTATGTCCCACAGAGGAACTTAAGGTCTTCAAATAAAAACATCTTGAAGGTCCCAGGCCACAGAGAGGTTAGGCTGGCCTCAACTAGAGCCAGGGCTTTTCGGCTGTGGCTCCGATCTGGTGGAACGCTCTGTCACAAGAGACTAGGGCCCTGCGGGACTTGACATCTTTCCGCAGGGCCTGCAAGACAGAGCTGTTCCACCAGGCCTTTGGTCAGGGCACAGCCTGACTCCCTCCTTTGGCAATCTTCACAGAACTTTAGCTTAATGGTTGCCATCAATTTGATTTTAATGAATTTTTATAATGAAATGTTTTCAGAATGTTGCACTATTTTAGTGTTGTTAGCCGCCCTGAGCCCGGCTTCGGCTGGGGAGGGCGGGATATAAATAAAATTTATTATTATTATTTATTATGGGTTTGGGGAGTATGAAAACCTTGATATGAATCAGGATGTGTCTGAGTAGACGGTGGAGGAGAGGAGGCTGGCTGGTGGTGGATTTGCCTGGTTTGGTGAATTGAAGAGGGGGTGAGTCTGAATATTGGGAGGGTTAACCCTGCAGTCATGATCAGACCACTATCTGGTGACGTCTGATCTTACAGTGTCAGACCGCCACACCCCCCCAGTGTGCATGCAGGAGAGGACCTTTTTAGGAAGGTCTGCCCCCATCCTTTGTCACAAGGGATTTTGGCATGCTTTGGGGGATTTTCTACAAGTCAGAGCCAGCAATCTTGTTGAGTCTTTTGTCCTGCTATGGAATGGCGAGATGTGCTGGGCTGCTGACGCAGTTGCTCCTGAGGGCCCTCTCTAAACCTCTGGAGCCAAGCTATGAAACAGGTTGGGCGCAAGTGGTGTAAGACTTGATTAAAAGCTGATCAGATACATGCTGGAGTGCATGGTTGCGCCTATTGCATGGCAGTGGCGAAGCATCTCTGAGTAGCCAGCCAAAAGAGCTATTCCATGTGGCGAGAGGACTGCAGATATCTGTCCCTGATAATAGTTTTTAGGCCAGGTGTGAAAAGTTTGCCGGGGAGTTTGAGGATAAAATCATTCATCTCTTTGTTCAATGTCGCCACTATTACAGAACCAGGAGAGATACTATTTCTTGGAAGGCACTGGCAGACAAATGTTACATGAAAGAAAATCCATAATTGAACACTTAGAATGTAAGAACAGCCTGCAGGATCACGCCAAAGGTCCATCTAGTCCAGCATCCTATTTTCACAGTGATCAACTAGATGCGTGTGGGAATTCCACAAGCAGAATTTGACCACAAGAGCAAGACTCTCCCCTCCTGTGGTTTCCAGCAACTGGTATTCAGAACCACAGCTGCTGCCAGCTGTGGAGGGAGAGAATAGCCATTGTTGCTTGTAGCCATTGACAACCCTCTCCTTCATTAATTTGTCTAATGATCTTCTAAAGCCATCCAAGGTGATGGCCATTACAGTGGTACCTTGGGTTATATACACTTCAGGTTACAGATGCTTCCGGTTACAGACTCCGCCAACCCAGAAATAGTACCTCGGGTTAAGAACTTTGCTTCAGGATGAGAACAGAAATCATGCTCCGGTGGCGCAGCGGCAGTGGGAGGCCCCATTAGCTAAAGTGGTGCTTCAGATTAAGAACAGTTTCAGGTTAAGAACGGACCTCCAGAACGAATTAAGTTCTTAACCCGAGGTACCACTGTACTGCCTCCTGTGGGAGCAAGTTCCATCGTTTAACAATGTACTGTGTGAAGAAGGACTTTCCTGGCACTTCCAACATTCAGCTTTATAGAATGTTCCAGTCTTACGAGAGGGACAAAAATTATTCCCTCTCCACTGTCCCCATGCCATGCCCGATTTCATAAACTTCTATCATATTAGCTTCCAACTGTGAGTGAGGTAGAATGTGCCTCACCCTGCCAACCAGTTCTTAGCACAGTATATTCGGACTCTGGAAACACCGTTGTTATCTCAACTAGCAAAACCCCAAATCCAATCTGAGCTCAAGGGAGTGAGCGCATGCATCAATTTCTTGAGCCACCAAGTTACCCAGCTGCAGAGGCTGGTGTTCAGCTTGCCAGCTGTGGCGATCACACAGGGTCCCCGGACGTTTGACGGTCTAGTGATCCTTGTGCCACCACTGCGATTGCTTCCCTGCTGCCACCAACCCGTTTCTCTCGGGAGGACACGGAGTCCAGACAGTTGTTAACATTAATCTAAATAAAGAAGTTTATTCTATAAGCATTAACAAGTTTATGGTTTCAGATAATTTTTTTTGTCAGTTTCTTAATCTTAGTTTCTTTACCGGCCTATAGTAAAGGTAAAGGGACCCCTGCCCATTATGAATGACTCTGGGGTTGTGGCGCTCATCTCGCTTTACTGGCCGAGGGAGCCGGCGTACAGCTTCCGGGTTATGTGGCCAGCATGACTAAGAGGCTTCTGGCGAACCAGAGCAGCGCACGGAAACGCCCTTTACCTTCCCGCCGAAGCGGTACCTATTTATCTACTTGCACTTGACGTGCTTTCGAACTGCTAGGTTGGCAGGAGCAGGGACCGAACAACGGGAGCTCACCCCGTCACGGGGATTTGAACCACCGACCTTCTGATTGGCAAGTCCTAGGCTCTGTGGTTTAACCC